CGCCCCCTCCCAGCCGGCCGGCCGGGGGCTGCCCCGCTTCCTTGGGGCGAGCCCCCCCGCGCCAGCCCGGGGACCCGGGGCGCTGCTTGGGAGGAAGCTCCCCAGCGGCCTTCCGGGCCTGGGGAGGGGGCAGGCTGTCCCCGAGCCGGCCAGGCTCCAGCCCTCGTTCCGCCGCAAGCCCCTTGGCGGAGGCGGAGGACTGCTGGCCCTCAGCAAGGCCCCCGCGCTCAATAAAACGCAACTGCCCCTCCTGGTGTTCCTGACAGGGGCTTCGTGGGCCGAGCGGAGGGTGGGGGAATTAGGCCCCTAACTCAAGCCACCCTTTCCCAGGGCAGGTACTCCCACCCACGCCTCTCCGCTTTCTTCTCCCTTCAGCTTTCCTACACTTGGCAGGGCACCTCTGCACCACACCTGCGGAGAAACCAGCTGGGCAGCTTCTCCGCGTCGGGCTGGGAAGGAGCGCCCAGGAGGTGGGAATAGCAGCGCGGCACTTGCAGGTGAGCCCGGGAACACAAGCCCCAGCCCCATCACCACCTCTCCAGCAGAGCCAAGGCCCATCCATCGGCTATCACTCTCAGATTATAGCGCAGTCTGTCCAGCAGCCAGCCTCTGGGAATGGGCAGGAGGCATCTGGTGGCTTCTCCGCTGGGATGCAGAGATGGAGGCCCAAGCGAAGCCTTTGGTAGCTCCAGGCACATCCCAGCTCTGGGAAGGGCACAAGGAGAAGCAGCTAAAAGCTGAAGCAGATGCTGCTCAATGCCATGGGACCAGTTAATCTTCCTCTACCTTGACACATCTCAGATGGGAGTGGCATGACTCCCAAAGCCTTTGGCACAGATATGCAGCCTCCAGGCAAGTAGTAGAAGGGAGAAGCCAGCCCGCCCAGAACTGTCAGGGACTGCTGGATTCCGATACAGGGCGCTGCAGGCACTTGAATACTGGATCATTCACTTCCCTTGGTAGCTGTTCCAGTGTTACATTGTAACAGCAGGCTAACTGCATCAGGGTTAGGTACTAAGTCAGTACCAGCTTCCTGTCTATTCTGTAACTTTGTTGCGCTCTGGTTAAGTGCATAGTTAGTCATTGCAATGATAGCCTTCTGCTCCAGTTGCATCCCTAACAGCTGTACCAGAAACAGCTGTTAGAGGCATTGACAGTAACTGGTGTTAGGCAGTTTCAGGACTTCCAATATTATGATAGTGTAACTAATCATTATTTACATCCAGGTCCCTCAAGGTATAGTTCCAAGGAAGCAGGCTTAGAGGACTACATGCTCCATTCACTCTGGGTCAACTTCTCCCTGCCTTGGGCTGTCTGCTACAGCCCCCTGCCTCCACCCACATCCTTCACACTGGGGCACAAGCTGTGTGACACTGGGTGCATCTACAGGAGATGCTTAATGTGCAGAACAGGTTCTTTGGGTAGATGTGATATCTTGTATTAGACCAACTACATGGTTGAAAGAGCTCTTTGCAAGCTCTCAGGCACAAACACCCTTCATCAGGCATTGGGAGACTGCTGCTATTGTGTGTTGTCTGAGGTAGAAAAGCAGCTAAAATACAGAAGTCTGTGAAAATCCAAACAAGTGGACATTTGGAAGATAATGGGTAGAGATGGGGGGAGGGAGAGGGGGTGGGGAACATGCAGAAGATGTTCTAGCACTGCATATTAATGTCACCAAAAAACATTCAACTGCTCTAATACAGTCACACTGATTACAGCACATTTAGTACACATCTTTACAGGTACCAAAATATAATGTGCTGCAATTACAGCACATTAATAAACATAATGAGTATTGAGCTCAGTCTCTAGGGGATGCTCCTCTCAATTCCCAGTTGGGATGCAAAGACCCTGCACCCCGACCCCTCAAGGCTTGTTTACACAGATACACAGACCAGACAGGCTGCAAGACCCACATCCTATTCAGCAATGTGAGGATCCACTCCTGATTTAGCCTAGCCTGCTTTGCAAACTAATTCAGAAACAAGAAAGAGGCATTTTTATCCCAGGGCTGTTTCTCCAGAAAGCAAGAACAATGCATTATGTTTATCAATTGCACCCATATAAACAAGACCTTAGGGTGCTTTTCTCCCAGGGTTGCTTCATCTGAGGACTTCACTAGAAATATCTGACTTTAATCTTTCTGATATTGCCAGCTCCTGGAGTTAGGCAAGCATAAGACTCCACTTTCCTTTAAGTACAAAGGAGTTACTAGTGCTTAGGAGTAGAGATAAAAGCCTGCAGACTTAAGGAGACTTTTGGGGCTTAAGTCAATCATTCCTTACATACTTGGAGCTCATTATACTACTTTCATCTTTCACAGCAGATTCTCTTCATATGGTAATAACCCAGCTCCCACTGTCCAAGAAGCCTCTTGTGCCGTTTATGTTCCTAATGCTACAGTCAAAGTCAAGGAGCACTATTTCCCTTCACCCAGTTATTTCTTCCTTTTGGCCTGACCTTCTTAAGCCCCGTTCCAATGCCTTTGGACTGAATATCCAGCCTAGAGGAATCAGAACTTGGACCAGCAATACGACACTGCTTTTAAAGCTAGTGTCAAATAGAAAGCAATGTTGCAATGGTTGGACTTGCCACAAGGCGGCACTTGAATCACAGTCTTATCAGGGCAGGCTTTCATGAAGCATTGGGGGAAAATTAATTAAGCCTGGCAGAGTCCATAGACATTAGTTATTATTATTACTATTTTTAGGACCAGTGATGTTAGTCCCTTTGCACACATCCTGAGGGAAGCTAGCTGCAGGCCCTGTATCCAAGCTGTATAACACTCCTATAAAGGGGTTCTTTTGACTCCCCCCCCCCTTTTAAAAGGTAAGCTCTAGCAGCTCTATTGCTTTCAGCAGACCCTTAATACTCACCAGGGAGGTAAACTTAGGGCTATGAATCTCAATCCCCATCAGACTTATAAATCATGGCCAACAGCTTTCTTACATTTGGGCTCTGCCTGGATTTTGGCAGCACTCCTGCACATGCATTCCCCAGCCCTCATATACCTCCTCTTAGTTTACTGCACCAGCATGGAGTTCTCTTGCAGGTGCAGGGTCTCAGCCACTGCCAGCAGCAATAGGGAATATAGGAGAGGACAGGGGTCTGAAACCAAGAGCTCCTTCTTGGAGGAATCAGCATCTGGGCACAGCATAAGGCTCCAGCAGCTCATACCCCTTTGTAGGGGCACCCAAAAACAGAATCTCTCATCTCCTGGAAAGGGAAACAAACTACACAGCTGCTGCCAAGGCAGCTGGGACTGAGAGACAAGTGGGGGACCTTCAAGGACACTTAAATGTTGCCAAGTATCACTGTGCTCTGCTGAACATTTCTGGGAAGCTGCAAAAAAGCCTGCAGAGCAAGTAAGAGGCATGGGAATATCTACATGGGCCATCTGCCAGCTGATGGATGGTGGCAGGAGCCTTACAGAAGTGATTTATCCCTGTTGGCAAAACCAAGGATTCTTTTGCTCTATGGAACTGAGAGTAGATACTGCCCATTTTGCCAGCAAAGTTAGGATTGTTGACTAAGCCTTAAGTACTTGGTGGATTGCTCTTTTAAGTGGCCTTAGATCTTTGCATTTTGATTAGGAATAGTACCTTGTTAAAGACAGGCAAGGTGTCACAGCTAATTAAGCCATAGCCAGGCATAGTGAGTTACATCACAATCAGAGTTAGGGGCTTACCAGAACATAAGAAGACAGGGTCAAAGCTAGGTATCCTTCCAAGTTCAGGGTGCTAAGCTCAGATCAGTCAGGCCAAGCATTTGATCATGAGCAGAGGCATTAAGGCTAGAACCACCAAGAGAACAGCACCCTCCAAGGCTGTGGCTGCTGCTATAAAAGTACCCTGTACAATGTGGGAGGGTTTTATAGCCCTCCAATCAGTGTAGTGGCTTCCATTGGTCACCTCAGGTCACATGGTCCCTATTTAGCCTCTTACTAGTGGCAGAGATTGTATCTGGTTGTTCTGTTTGGTGGTATTGAGGCTTGGGGTGGTTTGTTCAAATTCTGATGTTTCTGATATGGAGTCAGCACTGGAATACCTAGTAGAGAGACAGAGGAGTAATGAAAAGGTTTGGGTAACTAGTAAGCTAAAAATGATTACCCAGTTCTGTTTCTCTGCCTATTTTACCTAAGTGTCTACTGCCATTGGCCTGGCCTGTCTATTAAGAACATAAGCCCTTGGGCATGGTGCCTTTCTCCCCTCTCTTTTATGCCACCCTGGGAAGAAGGAGAGCCAAGCTCAGGTTACTGTAATTGGGACAATACAGTTGAATTGTTCCTGATATGCTTCTACTGACTGGTGTTTGTCTCTGCTTTCCCTTCTCCTCTTAGGGGTCCCACCAGCAGGTAATAAAGCCGAGATCTCGAACACAGCCGATCTGAGTCCTACCAGAAAGTACCTGCCTACCTGTGCTGTGCTGTCTGTAAGATGCAGCTACTTTTTGCAGAAGGAATCTACTCTCCTGCATGTTACATATCCTCCTCAAGTGATTGGTCTGCCCAGAGTAAGAGCTTTCACTTTTGACCAGCTGGTACCTTTACCCACGATACACAAATGGCAGAAATTTATACTGCTTTGCTAGAGGCTTAGGGTTCAGAAGATGATGCTGCCTTCTCCTTGACTTCAGACTAACGTGGCTAGCTATATCTTGGTGCCTGATAGAGGCAGGGTCTTCACTCAAGTCACTCAAAGTCTGGTGCTGTGGGTAAGGTGAAGGCTCAGCTGCTGTGTTCCTACCTAACCTGTGGCTTCCAAATTCCCCTTCCTAAGAAATCAGGCATCATGTTATACTTAGTTGTGAAACTGGGGGAGGGGATGGTGTGGGGGGGAGAGCACAATCCCCTCTGCCTAAGGCATGAAACCATTGGAGTAATTTGTGCTTTCATTAGAAGTTAGTCACTTTCAGGACAAGGAAGAGGTTGGCTTTCTGCTGGGGAGACTTTAGCCTTGCTGCCAGTGCTAGAAGCCTGCATCCTGCCCCTGCTCTCCAAAGGGGTCTGACAACTTGGCTGTCTTTCATTTTCTTTAAAATTAATCCAGCCTCACATCCCTTTGGGAGCTGCTTTATCGGCAAGGGCAGGGCTGCCTGACACTGCAGGAGACAAGCTCTTGAGTTGGTAATCAACAGATTTGTAGGGCTTCTTGAGCTGATACCTATGTTGTGTTGGGGGTAAAAACAATTGGCCATTGGAACTGGCTCAAACTTGGAACCCCAAAGTCAGAAGCCAAGGCAATAGCACCACCAGGTGACTGGTTAAGTACCAATTCTAGTTCAGCCTGGGTCTTCCCATGAAGTTCCCAGAGGGGGGCCAGATGACCTGGGCAAACCTATAGGAGCCTCAAACCCCTGATCAGACGGCTTTAAAACCCTTCCTTGGTGCAGGGGCATTTCCTAGTAGAAATATTTTGGGTGATGCTGTTTTATGCCTATTTGCTTGAGCCTGGGTAGGCTTGTTCTTATCTAGAGCCTTCTGGTTGTTATTGACTGCTTGTCCTGACCATGACCTTGGCTTTGCACCCTGGAAAATGAACTGAATTGTGTCTGTGATCTTGGCTCCTTGCACTCTGGTAAGTCCCTGACTGCTCCTAGTGTGAACTGCAAAGCCTGACTGTGTGCCTTGGTCAACCCTGACTAATCTTTTCTCTCTCCTTCCTTCTTGGGGTGTTTAGGATAGGCATGGGAGTGATGGTGCTATAGAAAGGTGCTTTCCTTGTAGGTGGAGGTATGTCAAACTGTCTCCAAAAAGTAAGTTTAGTGTAAGGAACAGCAGTAGGTTTTATGCCCAGCTTAGAGAAAGAGGACAGTCTTTTGACTGATACTTTATAAATGGGTTAAGATTCCTATTGAGTTGCTGCTTCTTTCCCCTAGCTGGAGAGTTGTGTTTTTGGTCTATTTGGGGTAGCTGCTCAAAGGTGGGATTTCTTCAAACACTTTCTATGAGTGAGGAAGTGAGGAGCCCTGACTGGAGGGAGCTGCTTGGGGATTGTGGGGAAAGGAGAGGACACTTGTTTTTGCAAAACTGTTGCAAAACTGGTGGTTAACCCTGCCTGACTGGGTATGGTGGAGAAGGGGAGGAGCTAGTCTTTCCACTCCTAGAGACTTGGTTGGTTGGAAGATTGATCAAGTGCCAGCCTTACTTCTAGCTCCTTCCATTGGACCATCTTCCAGGTCATGAGAGCTTGAATTCTTGGCTTTAGCAAGAAGTGCATGGTCAGTAGGTGTTTGCATTGCACTGAGTGCCCCATTAGCCAGAGTTACAAGTGAAAGAGGTGGCCTAACCTTCAGCTTGAGGACTAAGTCTAGAAGGACAGTTGGTTGGAGTGGAGAGATCCTACATTTAGCATTTTGGATTGGTTTAATTTGCTGTTTCTTAACCAGGGTACTGCAAGGGTGCTATGCAATATTAGTGTTGTCAGATGTGCAAATGCCTACCTAGGATTCACAAAAGATTTCATAGTGGTTTTGATACTGGATTCATAGTTTCATAGTGTCTAGGGTCGGAAGGAACCTGAGCAGATCATCTAGTCTGACCCCCTGCCATGGCAGGAAAGAGTACTGGGGTCAAACGACCCCAGTAAGGTGGTCATCCAACTTCCTCTTAAAAACCCCCAGGGTGGGAGCCTGCACCACCTCACTTGGAAGCTGGTTCCAGACCCTAGTCACCCTGACCATGAAGTAGCGCCTCCTGATGTCCAACTTAAACCTTCCCTCCGCCAGCTTGTGACCGTTGTTCCTGGTCACTCCTTGCGGCACTCGGGGGAACAGGGACTCCCCCAGCGCCTGCTGATCCCCCC